TTCAAGTGTACAATTCAATGATTTTTAGTAAGTTTTTGCTTATGTAACATCGACACAATCTCATTTTAAAACACTTCCATTACCTCGGAAAGAAAGTCACTTCCAATTGTGGTCGCTCCCATCCCACACCCTGCCCTAGGCAACCAGTAAGCTGCTTTATTCTGCTATAGATGTGACTTTTCTGGGCTTTGATGTAAATGGAATCATACGATATGTAGTCTTTTGTATGGACTTCAAATTTTTTTCTGTTTTTACATTGGGTTATGTGTCTTCTTATAAAATTATAAGAGTTCTTAGTGTATTTTGGGCATAAATCCTTTATTGGAATATGATTTCAAATGGTTTTCTCCCTGTCTGTGGCTTGCCTTTTTACTTTCTTCATGGTGTATTTGAAAAGCAAAATTATTAATTTTGATGAAATACAACATATCATTTTTTCCCCTTTATTGTTTGTGCTTTTGTGGTCAAAGAACTCGTTAGCTACTGCAAAGTTGTGAAGATTCAGTTATGGGTTCTTTTGTGGTAGGTTTATAGTTTTAGATCTTACGTTTATATGTGATCCATTTCTAGACGATCTTTGTGTTTGGTGTGAGATAACAGTATAATTCGTCTTTTTGCGTGTGTATGTCCCATTGTCCCAGCACCGTTTCTTGAAAAGACTACAGTTTCCCCACTGCTGGACTGCCTTGGCACAATTGTCAAAAATCAATTGAATAAATGTTAAGTGTTTCTTTCCTGACCCTTGGTATTTCCGTCTCATCGATCTACATGTCTATTTTTATGCCAGTCCTGTACTATCTCGATTACCACAAATAAGAGCGTCCTGTGGACGCTTCCGACAATTCAGCTCTCCAGGAGATGATGAAAAGTGACTTTGACACTCGTTCAGGTGATATGCTAAGTGCACGAGTGCAGAACCCAATGCTAGCTGTCCTTGTGAAGTAGCCATCTGAGGACACCCTAACGCATTCGAGAGTCTGTTGTTGAGGGGAAAATGGCAGTGAGAAGCTCGACTAAATTCTAGGAAAAGCTAATGTGATCACATCGAAGACACACATTTTTTTGGAGGAAGAGTAGAGTACCAGCAGTCATCTGAGTGAGATTATATCTTGGATTTGATCATTTCTTCTCCAGGTCCAGAGGGTCTTTTTTTTTTTTTTTTTTAAAGATTGGCACCTGAGCTAACATCTATTGCCAATCTTCTTCTTTTTCATTTCTACTTTTTTCTCCCCGAATCCCCCCAGTACATAGTTGTTTATTTTAGTTGTGGGTCCTTCACGTTGTGGCATGTGGGACACCACCTCAACGTGGCCTAATGAGTGGTGCCATGTCCGTGCCCAGGATCCGAACCAACAAAACCCTGGGCCGCTGAAGCAGAGTGCGCGAGCTTAACCACTTGGCCATGGAGCCAGATCCCAGAGGGTGTTTATCTGGATGAGCCTAAGGTGCCTTTCTCCACGCCCACTGTTGGATGTCTGCCGGAGTCACGGGGCAGGAGTATGGATGCACAGTGAATTCCTGATGGCTGGGCTCAGGCTGGTCTTCAGCAGTACCTGGCAACTCCACCGATTTCTTTGGCCAAATGTCTCTCCCTTTCCACAGGATTTCAGCATTTCTTTATTTTCCTCAAACCCTTAGCGTAATTCAGCCTCCAGTGGTTACCCCTATCCCAACCAGCCATCTCTCACCCAAACCAAACCAGTAGCCAGGGTATCTGCTTTCCTGCCCCTGTTTTCTTCCTGCTTCAGTCCATTCTCCAGACTAAAATCTGATTATTCTCCTCCCCTGATTGAATCACCTTCCATAGGACGAGACTATGACCTGTGCTACAACTTCTCAAACCCTGTCCCCTTCACTTTCTGTATTTGATTGCAGCGGTCTTTAATTACCCAGGCGCACAGTGCTTCTCCAAATCTTACCACTCCTATGGGTTTCCTGGGGCCACAGTAACCAAGTACCACAGCCTGAGTGACCTCCAACAACAGAAGTTGGTTCTCTTACGTCCCAGAAGCTGCAAGTCTGAAAGGAAGGTGTTGGCAGGGCCGTGCTCCCCTGGAAAGCTGTTGGGAAATCCTTCCTTGCCTCTTCCTGGCTCCTGGGGGTTTGCTGGCAGTCTTTGGCATTCCTTGGCTTGTGGATGCATCCCTCATCCCTCTGTCTTCACATGTGCTCTCCACGTGTTTCTCTCTGTTTCCAAACTCCTCCTTTATACCAGTCATATTGGATTAGGGCCCACTCTAATGACCTCATTTTAACTTGATTATCTTTATAAAGACTCTATTTCCAAAAAAAGTCACATTCTGTGATAGTGGGGAGTTAGGACTTCAACATAACTTTTTTAGAGGGAAAAATTCAACCCATAAAACCCACCATTAACAAGGAGCTTTTCACACAGTGTTTGTTCCCCAGAAATCTTTGCAGCCCTCACCTTCTGCCACCTTGCCCAGCCACCCTTCCAAGTTTCAACCCAGAATGAGTTTTCTTAGGAAAGACTGACCACAATCTAAGTACGTTTCCCAGTAGATGCATTCCCGTGGCCGTACACCTTGTCTTTGCAACACTTACCATATTTGTAATTGTACATATATGGGTGAAGTTGTTTGATCAGTGTCCATCTACTTCACTGGACTGTGAGCTCTGTGAAGACCCTTTGTCCTCACTGTTGCATCACTGCAGTGTCTGGAATAGCACAGCAGGCGTTCAATAAATGTTCGGCTGAATGAATGAATAATAGATCAGACCAGAAATGGCACAAATGTCAGTTTGAAGTTTCAAAATTTCTACATTCACAAAAGTGTTAGTGAGAACATAAATTGATTGTTTCCATATAATTCAAGTAAAACAATATTCTACCTTTCAGGAAATAATTTCTCTAATATTAGGCTAATTGGCTAAAACCTGAATAAGAAATTTTCAGTTTATTTTGAATTATCAGTGCTACAGTAGCTGTACAAGAATCTAACCCTGCTCATGTCACTCAGCTTCTCTTTTTAGTTTCAAAAATCAACTGTCTAAACATCTAAATTGCATTAATAAATATCCAGGGCAAGCAAAATAGCAAAAGATTATGACAGAGTTGAGGATATCCAGTTTAGTACAACAACATTTATTGCTAAGTGCTGTGCTTGACCCTGGGAACACCCATGAAGCAAAGCTTCAGTGTAGCAGAGGAACGCTCCGCTGGCTCAGGATCAGCAGCAGTGGGGACAGAAGCCCAGCGACGTTCGTTGCCTCTAACGTTTGACTTTTCTTTGATGTTGCACATAAATGCTTTTGGATTCAGAGGCAAAATGCGACTTCAGTTTCTTTGGAAGGCGTCTACCTCATATATTTTTCTTTCTTTTCCACAATTCCTTACACGAATGGTTATATTCAAAGCCATAATCTGTATCTACCTGGAGTTTGAAGAATTGCAGGAATGGTTTAATCCAGCTCTTACCATCTAGGTCATTTTGATCAATTTACTTAGTTTCTTTAAGCCTCAGTTTTCTTTTCTGTAAAATAGAGATAATAATATTATTTGATTGATTGGATTATTCCTGATATTAAATATATATAATGTATGATAAATTGCCTGGTTGTGGTTAGCAATTTAGGATGTTACTATTATTATCTTCATGAAAGGTGGACTTTAAGCATGTTTCAGTTTCACACGTGTGTGTTTCATTTTCTTTGTATGATTTACTTTTTCCTGAACCAAAGTATTAATTTACATTTAACCTTCACTTTTACCTAGTGCCTCTCATACATAATAAATTAAGAATATTTCCTTTACGTAAATTATGACTAAAGTTCATATTATGAATAATATATAAATAAGCTCCAGTATAACTACTGGAGACCTAATTCTGCCTAATAGTTATAAAAACAAAGAGCAGTACACAAATTAATGAATTATCCTTATTTTGAAATATTTATTCTAAATATTTATTCTTAAAATATTTTAGCCTTAAGTAATATTAATTCTCTGATGAAAGTGTTGCCTTTGAAATTTTGTATAAATCAAAATATATCTGAGAAACACAAACTAGCCAAGAGTAAAAATAAAACAATTTAAGTAACGTGTTTTGTTGATAGAAATGCAAAAATAGAATTAATTTGGTATATATTATTCTCTGCTCTGAATATTAGCCAGAATTTGGCAAACAGCCATATTATCCGATTTAAAATTGGAAATTGATTCTTGCAAACATATTAATACTATTTTACCAAGTGAATAAAGCTAGACTTTTGTTAACATATTCAGAGAGTTTCCAATTTCCTAAAAAGTTGCACTTCAAAATCATATGTAAGTGTGTTTTCTAGAGCCTCAAATATGTCCTCCTAAAACAATCATGTCACACACAGTTACACAGACGGACACTGGGAAGGTTTTCGTGACAAGTGGGGGCTCAGTGTTGGGGTCACAGGAAGGCGTAGGCTCAGTCACACTTGTTTTACTCATACTCACCTGAATCCTGACCTTGTCTTTTGTTGCTGTGAAATGGCTACGGGGGCAATATCCTTCAGAGGGGTTCCTCCTCTTTGTCAGTTGTGTAGGTATTATCCATATTAGTTCTCTAGAAGCTTCTTTTAAAAATGGAGGTCTTAAGGTACGGAATCCGTATGTTTAAGCACTTCTTATTCATCTTTCCAGTTCCATTCAGATGACATTTATGAATTCTGATAATTGTTAGGCACAGCACCAGAGAAGTGACACCTTTCACTTACATTATTTTTATTGGTCTTGACTTCACCCTAAAAGGTGGGTGTTCTTATTTCTATTTTAAAAATTATGAAACTAAGGTTCAGAAAGGTTACATACATGACAGAATAGGATTTCAACCTGTATCTGCCTGATTCCTAAGACAATGCCATGATCAATGTTCTAGGCTGCCTCTGCACAGGCAAAACCCTTATCCACTTGTTTACCAGAAGAGAGATGACCCTGAACATTGAAACTCCATTTTAAATTCCACTAACAAGACAGCCAACAAAGCGGTTTTGTTTGTTTTATGTAGGTATATGGCCATTATTGATCCCTTGAAACCCAGACTGTCAGCCACAGCGACCAAGATCGTCATTGGAAGCATCTGGATCCTCGCGTTTCTACTTGCCTTCCCTCAGTGTCTTTACTCCAAAACTAAAGTCATGCCTGGCCGTACCCTTTGCTACGTGCAATGGCCAGAAGGTCCCAAACAGCACTTCACGTAAGTTAATTCTCTTATGATTTTCAATTCAGTTTATTGAACACTTAAGGAGCTACAGGTGGGGAGCAACAATTAAGCAAATAAGACACAGATATTCCCCTCAAGGGCTCAGACTATTTAGGGAAAGAGACATGTGAAAATGCCATAATGCAGTGTGATGTTGTCCATAGGTTTGTCTAAGTTACAAAGGTTTCTAATCGGGAAAATGTGATGGCTTTTCCAAGGGGCACCCTGGAGAGCCTCCTGGAGGAGGCGAGGCGATCCCTGGAGACGAGAGCAGGGCACAGAGGGAAGCGGATTGTCGTTGAGAAGCGAGTGAGGACGGAGGCCTGAGGCCCAGAGGTGCCCAGGGCTCTAGTAAGAAGCTGGCTGACGGGCGGGGCACCCTGGTGCCTTCTTGGCTGCATTCCATTATTTTAGAGTTAAAGAAATTTAGACTCCAGCTTGGAAAGGAAATAGGAATGCTGTGTATATGGTAGAATTTGGTATTTCATATTTTGGACCCACTTTAAGAAAAGCAAAAGAAAAGTATCCTAATTGTGCAATTATTTGCATTTTTTTTATTCTGATCATTTAAATTTTCAGTAAAAATCTTATTTAGTGACCTATTTTTCTCGTTAAAAATAACGAATGATGCAAATATAATGGTCATCTTTTAAAGCAGCCATTTTATCAAACTCTGCTCTACCCAGAATCCAGATTTTTAAAGAAAAATATTAGGGACTATTTGTTGAAGGAAAGGCAGGCTGCAGCTACACTACTGAGAAATGCATTCCATCCATTATTAATAAATCTTACATCTATATGATAACAAAATTCATCATAGTAGTAAAATTAAAATTTTTGTTGACTAAATGGCTTCCTTATTTGATCAGGAACCGGGAAGGTGAGGGGGCTTAAGATCCTTTTACAAAAAGACACAGGTGTGAGGAGACTGGCCCACTGACTCTTTACCTACCTCACAGCTTCCTCAGATGTTGGGAGCCATGCAGAAGTTCACAAAATTCCAGTCGGGCTGTCACATTATTGGTTGCCATCCTTTCCTCCTTAACTGCATCCCTATAATTTGATTGAAAGCAGTGAAATCCTAGAATTTATTTTAATAATTTATAGTATCATCACTTTGGTGTGACTAACCCTTTTGATGTGTTTATTTGGTAAATTAATAATATAACCAAGGTGCTATGACTTTGGAAAAATGCATGTAAATATCTTTACCTGATTTTTAAAATTACAAATAGCTTGTGGGTCCAATGTGGCTCAGAGAATCTAGCTACATTTTTTTTTTTTCATTTGGGTGAAAACTAACATTTCAGATATGGGTGATATTACAGGGATATATAGAGTCTTACTTAGAAAAAATATGTGTGAGTGGGTGAGTTTATTCTGTCCCATGGCTTTTCCTCTGATGATGCATTGGGTTAGGTTGGCTCCACAGTTACCGAGCAGAGGAAAGGCATTCATCCTAAACTTCTAGGCCAGGGGATGCATGTTTAAATGGTCACTGCAGCTCAGCTGTGGCTTTCAGATACGAAGTAAAGATTGACAAAGATCGACTGGTAAGCATCAGGACAACTGTAGTGACAACAGCATATTTTGATGGATTTGTGAAATGAGGCCTAAGAGAAAATATGGAAATAATGTTTGCATTTTCAGTAGAATGAATTCGGAGTCCCCATATTTCCCGTCAAGATACCCTTCGTGTCTCTTGCAGGTACCATGTCGTTGTCATTGTGCTGGTGTACTGCTTCCCACTGCTCGTCATGGGCATCACATACACCATGGTCGGAATCACTCTCTGGGGAGGAGAGATCCCGGGAGACACCTGTGACAAGTACCATGAGCAGCTGAAAGCCAAAAGGAAGGTACCGTCCCACAGAATTAGCTAGCGTTGTGTCAGCTGCAGCACACCACTGAGGGAGAACTCGCTATGGCATTTTAATATAAAATGATTTGATACTTTACTACTGAGGGTTTTTTTTTGTCTTTTCTTTGTTTTTTATCAATTTTTTCGTTTACTCTCTTCTGTCTTCCATAAGCCACTGTCCACGTACAGAAGACTGTAACAGAAGAGTCGCTTCCTCACAGCAGGACTTACTACCTTTTTCAGAGTATTCTCAGTTATTCCACCTGAAAAGTCTAAAATCTCACTTGATGGAATTCCAGTTGACTATATTTCTGCAGCTCTAGCTATCACTGTCCTTTATTGGACAGAACCCCTCCGATCTACTCTATAACCTTCCAGAAGCTTCCTCCATCCCCGGAATGGTGTCTCCTTTCTCATAGGTGCTGTAATTCCCTGATATCTGTCTGTCTGTCCCTCCTCCCCTCCGAGCTCTCTCCCCACCTGGTTTCTACACCGCCATTGCAAAGTCCAACTCAGAGACGAGAGCTGCGTTAATACTCCTTGATAACTTGTTGGGTGACACGAAAAGACCTCTTTTGAACAATTCACATTAAACAAGACCTCTAAAAATTATTATATTGGCATTTTACTAGGATTACTATTTTCATTAGGATTTTCTTCTGACTACCGTTATGTGACTCAGTGAGCAAGATTTTTATAAATTTGTGGAGTTAAAAGGAATCTTAGAGTCATCTTTTCCATCTTCCTCTCTCTAGTTGATGTGCGACTAATGCAAACCAGAGAGATTTTTCCAAGGGTACAAATCACATTGATTATGCCAATTATTATTTACTCCATTTATGATTCATTCATTTATGTAGCACTACTACCAACCATGTAGACTTCTCTTAAAAATCCTCAATTTTAAAACCACTTGTCGACAAACACTCACTTAACCATGATCAAGTTTTAAAAATTTAATGTAGAAAATTTACTTCATTTTAATACTAATATATTTTTTTCTGTCATTGGCAAATAATGGTAGACATGACTTATGTTCAGCTAACATTTGATGATGGTCTCTAGTATTTGATAACTGAAAGTAAGCATTATCTTTTTCACAGTAATTTACTTATTTCTGTCTATAATATATATAATTTCATTTTATTTCTCTTTTAGAAAAACTACATTAGAAACAAAGAACACAGACTATGCCTTTGGCACCTAAAAAAAATTCTAAAACTTGGAGAACTTCAGTAACATGTCTTATATGAAAATCTCTCTTTCTCCTCTGTAATTTCAACCCTCATTCCCTGACATCCTGCTCATATTGCAGGATACTCTTTTGGGGAATATTTCCTCATAGCTGTGTCTTAGTCATCACCACATTAAATAACCGATGTGATGGTCTATGTATTTCAAAATAATTTCTGTCTTTGCGACCCACTTGATTTCTTGTCTTTTATTTCTTTCTTATAGGTTTAGCATTCTTAAAAAATTTCCTCTACACTCTTAGACGGATTAAAATAAGTCAAGTAGTTGTAGTTTGTAGTTCTTTTTTCTTCATATACACACAATATTTTTCTAGCAAGAAATGAAAATTTAATCTGAGCATTCCTTTTATTTTTGATTCTCAGAGGGAACAGAAGCACGAGGGACTGTTTTTGCTATTGTCCCTACATACCTGATGAGAGTAAGCCATAAATGTCCCCTTTTGATTTTATTACTCTACAATTTCAAAGTATAAATATCAATTCAAAGGAGAGTGTGGCCCTTCTGGAGTATTTCAAAAGAGTAAGACATTTGAAATTTCCGGTCAGTATATCTTTCTCTCAGACTGCATTCTGAGTTGAAATAATGCAAAATGACTTGGATGTCATGGACTTCTCATAATAAATCAACTTGTCCTTGGATTTCTTTCATGGTCTCTTATTGACCTGACCGTCAGTATCTCAGAAGTAACTCACTTTGTCCAAAAGTTTAAAATTTCAAAATACACTTAGCTCTTCTCTTAATTTCTTTCTTTTCGTCTAAAATTAAGATATTGTTTGGTATGGTTTGGAATACACTTGTTTTTAGTAATTATTCTGTTTTCATATGTTAATATGACTACTTAGATCAAAGACATAAATCTTACACTGGATGCGCCATTTAATTACCTGCTGTCTCCTGGAGAAGCACCTTTGACATCACAGATCAGATCTGAGAGATGAAACTAGAGAGGATTTGTTACAAAAGTGCAAATTCATCATTGCTGCCGGGAATCAGCTCGGAGTCAGCCTCCTGGTAGTAAAAGAATAGTGGGTGTTGTTGAGCCCCCAAAGACACGTGAGCAAGAATAAATCAAAACCAAAAAGTTTTAGTCAAACCACTGAGATCTTTGCAACTATTGAGAAGCATTGATTCCATTTCTCTTTCTCCCACAATCTTTAGGAATTGTGCTCAATTTCAAGTCTTGTAGATTAAGTTCTCTGAAGAACAGACAGTACAAATAAATTACACGTCTAAGCTACATAGCACCCAGCATATCTGGAAAGTAAACTAACATGAAGCTTTCAGATAATTTAGGATCAACCACCCACTCAGTTTTTGTGTATGTCCCACCTATGTATATGCATAGTTTGAAAATAATACCAGTGGTTCTGACCAGCACCAGGTAAAAAGACCAAATGTTAGTCCTGAGAAATAAGTTACTACCTCTAGAAATATTTCCTCATCATTAAAATGAGAGTGTAGAGGGGCTGGCCCCATGGCTGAGTGATTAACGTTCTGCATGCTCTGCTTTGGTGGCCCGAGTTCCAGGTTCAAATCCTGGGTGTGGATCTACTCTACTCATCCGCATACAAAATGGAGGAAGATTAGCATAGATGATAGCTCAGGGCAAATCATCCTCACAAAAAACAGAACGTAGAACCTAAAAATCAGTATGAAAGTTTATGGCTCCAAGCAGCTTACTAAGCTCTAGAAGGCAATCTGTAGGATTGTCTGACATTTCAGTCACATGTATAGAACTAGTATTTCAAAAGAATGTTAGCAAGCACATTAATAAACTCTTGTGTAGTGTATTTTACAATTCCAAAGCACTTTGAATACCTCATAACACAACCAAAGTTATCCTTAATTTATAATAAATGTTCTGGATTTGAAAATGCTGTATGTTATCTACCCATTGACTTTAAATATAAATCTTTTTAAATATGCATATTGAAATAATAACATCTCTTTAATGTAAGAAAGTGGCTGACTTAAGAATCCCTGCATTTTAGATAGGGTATCTTCAGTTAGTAGCAAAATATAAAATACCAGTGAATAGCCCCAATCCCAAAAGCCTTGGCAAGTTGGTTCTATTTTGGGGGGTATTTGGTTAATATTCTTGTCAAAGCTCTCCTTCAGGAAATCTGTACCATTCTGTACATTGTTATAATATTCAAGTAGAAAATTTAAATTATTTTTCGGAATTTTACTTTTCTAACATTATTCTGTTTGCTGAGCTTGTTACATTAATGCTTGCATTCCGGTGTGAGAATAATTTAGTGTCTAGAGAAAGAAACCAATTCTTGTCTACTTTGTTCTACTTATTGGTAGATAAGTCACAGATTTTGGCTAATTATTAAAACCTTGACTAAAATACTATGTATGTCATAACAATTATGCAACAAAATCAGAAATCATATCTCTCTATTTAATATACCATATATTGACATATGAAAAGTCATATTTTAATATTTAGTGCTCAACTTTCAAGCTCATTTAAAGTACATTTGCAGTTTAAAAATTCCATTCCAGAGTAGTAGATCTGATCGGAACCTAAAATTTCGCGAATCCACTTCCTTATTGCTCTTCCAGATTAAAATCAAAGGCATGAGGAGGAAATGAGCAGAATGCTAACATCTCATATTTAGGATTATAGGTTAAAGAAATCAAATATGCCCTTTAATTTTTTTCACTCTTGCCAATATCACCCTGTTTCCCTCACTGTCTAGAAGGAAGACATGGGTCCTGTCTCCTAGGCCATTGTAACACTTCCCTGAGCAGGGTCTTGTCTACAGCTAAGTCCACATGGCCACACCTTGAACTCATTCACCTTGGGAACAGAAGACTTGCCATCCATCTTTCCCGCATAGTATTCTCATAAATTAAGATTACTTTCTTAGCAATTTGGGTGAAAAAAAGGTAGTGACATTCTCTTATAAATGATATTAAGATTCTTGGCAATGACAAAACATATCCCAAAGTATTTGTGTGAGTCTGCTGGCATCTTGGAATATCTAAAACATAAATGCTAGAAGGCCAGTGATTAGCAAGATGGGAAGAAATAAATTTTACTAATTAATAAATACCTGAGTTGGACATAAAGCATAGCTAATATTGAAATGATTATAATCATTAAATTCATCTATAAGAAAAAGAAATGGTGGCTAGATAGAGAATGAAGACAATGAGGATAGTTATAGCAACCTCAACTCATTCATCAAGGTTATTTAGAAGTTCCTATTATGGAAATACCATAGACTAAGTTTCTCTGATATCAGGAAAAACATTTGCAGTCTTGCGATATCTTCATGTATCAGGTAAAGAAAACTGGACTAGTTGCAAGTTGCATTACTGTTGGTTGAATGCAGACACTCCACGTGTGCTGAGAGAGAATGATGTCAGTGTAGTTGGAGGGTTCCAGGGGCATCCGCAGAGCTCTGTCCTCAGCACCAGCTTGTTCAAAATTGATCAGTTAGAAGAATATCAATTCTGTGTCCATGATAAATAAACCTACAGATAGAGGCAGAATATCAGATGAGTGAATCAGGAACCAGGAAGGCCAGGAGAGCAGTGCCGTGCATGGTAGGCTGTGCGTGCTGTAAGGTCTTGATCCCATGATGACCTGAGTGGAGTCTGCGTGTCAGTGACCTGTGTTCTAGTTCTTGGCCTGTCCAGATGTGATCTGTGATGCACCTCTTTAACCTTCTTAGTCTCTGTTTACTGAAAATGGTGGAGGCTTGAAGAAGGGCATTTAGAATTAAAGTC